AGACAGACTACTTGAATTTTAATTAATTTTTAAAATATTTTTCATTATAATGATACAAGAAAAATTACAGATTATAATATTTTTTGTATATTTTAAAAAAAATTTAATTTTAAATTGATTTAATCTAATATTAGCTTAAAAATTGATCAAATTAAGTCACGAAAAATAAAAAGTGACAACTATTATTGGACACATGGAGTATTATGATATAGAAATACTAGATACAACAGCTCACGCTAGCACATACTCAATATATGTTATTTAGTTGTACCAATTTATGTAACTCAAATAAATTTGGATAGTCAATCAAATTTTTAATACGATTTTTAGATTTTTTAAGCTGTTAATCATGTGATTTGTAGTACATTTTATATAATTTTGAAATAATATATGTTACTATCCCTGTTTCAATTTATGTGTCACTGATAGAATTTTGATCAATTAAATTTTTTATACGATCTTTTAAATTTATATGTTGTTAATTATTGTGATTTATAGTATTTCATCATTTTAAATAACATATGTTACTTCCTATATTCCAACTTACATGACAGTGATAGAATTTCAAAAGTCACCCAAACTTTTTGTATGTCTTTAAAATATTTTAAATTGCTAATTATATAAAACAATTCTAAAATTGCTAATCTTAAAGTTAATATTTCTACTAAAACTAAATATGAAACAATCTCACATTTTATTATGAGATTATAATTCAATTGTAGACAAACGACCGCTAAGGCTCAATAACATTGTCGGATGCAGGTTGTCGATAGACAACTGTCTGCGTCTGGTCGCTTCCGGACGCTTCTAATACTAAAGTAATTACCACGATTATAATATAAAACAATTCTAAAATTGTTATATTTCCACTAAAAGTAAATATGAAATAATCTCATGTTATATTATGAGATTATAATAAAATTATAACCAAATCACCGCTAAGACTTTGAAATAACCTCGCCAGATATCGATATATCGACATATAGCTGTCTGATCGCTTCTAATAGTAAAGTAATTACCACAATTATAACATAAAATAATTCTAAAATTGCTAATTTTATAGTTAATATTTTTACCAGAAGTAAATATAAAATAATCTCATATTTTATTATGAAATCATAATTAAATTGTAAACAAATCGCTGCTAAGACTTTAAAATAACCTACTTAACGGACAACTAACAGTTTGTGACCACTTTTATCAATGGAAAAGTAATTACCACAATTTATAATATAAAAACAATTCTTAAATTACTAATCTCAAAGTTAAAATTTCTACCGAAAATAAATACTATAAAATAATAGTTTTTTTATTTTTTTATTATAAATTATAAAATCCAATTTAACCAAGTCATCGTTAACTAACCAGAGGGGATACTGACCATCTTTTCCACATCAAAATGCGCCGTTCCGTTAAATTCTTCCTTTGTAAGCCTCTCTAACGACGTCGTATGACTGTCCCAACTCCAACTCTAACTCAGATTCCCAGCCTCAGCTCCGGAGAAGCTAAAAATAAGTGAAGCCCTTTTCATTTCTTATATATATTTAACTGTTTTCATTTCTTTGATGATATTAAAAATAAGCTAAAAATTAGTTAGTACACATATTTGATGATATTAAAACTTACTGTTTTCATTTCTTTCTCGCTTTAAATTTTTTATTTTTTTTCTTTCATTAATTTCTTATCTTTTCACTTTTAATTATTTTAAAAAAGTTATGTGTATTAAAAAAAATTAATACAAGATAAAGAAAATAAGAATTTTTTTTTTTTAAAAAAAAATAAATAGAATTAAGAAAAAATTTAAAATCAAAAACATATTTACACACATGACAAGTACGTGTGTACAAACACAATCAATTTCGATGGTTGAAGATGTCACGTCAGCATAAAAGATGCACAAAAATATGAAAAAATGAATTCGAAAATAATAGAACCCTAATTAAGAGAGTGTCTCTAAGATTTGATAATAGTCTAAGCGAAATTTATGCCTTATCCCAAAATATATTTAGACCTTTTGTGACAATTGAGGAACACTTTTTCCTTTTCCATTTAAACGAGTTAAACGTGTTAGCTAATTGATGCCTTTTCCTGCGAGAGCACAATAATGCTTCTCAATTATTTATGCAGACAGTAATAGTACAACACCACATGGTTAAAGTAAAATCTTTGTTGACCCTAAATAAAAATGACGCATTTCTATGACTAATACTTTTTTCTGTTTTAAAATAATTAAACTATTGAGATATTTTTTATATTTTAAATTAATTTAATTGTTCAATTTTCAAGATTATATTTTTGAATATTCTTCCATTTTTATCTATCATTTAGATTTTCTATAAAGAAACTTTAATTGTTTTGAATTATTCTAAAGATCAATTTGACAATAATTAATAAGGAAAAAAATGGAAAGTAATGTCTAATTTATGTCTTAATATTCTTTTCTTAAAGGGGTATGAAACATTCCAACAATTCAATTATTTTGAAATGGAAGGAGTAATAATTAAATTTTAAAATGTCAATTTTATCTTTAGTGAGATTATTTCAAGTCACACAAACAAATACGGTTTGACATATTTCAAAAAAAAAAATCATGGATATATACACATGTAAAATTTAGATAATTTTGAATATCTACATCATGGTCATGTCACTCCAATAGTTCATTGCGATCTAGAGCCAGTCAACGTTCGTTTGGATGAAGATATGGTGGCTCATGTTGGTGATTTTGGCATCTCTAAAATTTTAGCCGTAAGCAAGTCCATGGCACATACCGAGACATTGGGAACTCTTGGATACATTGCACCAGGTATACTAAAATTATAACCTTTCTATTTGATTTTTCTCTTATCAAAATCAAGCCCTTGAAAATTCTAGGACTAAATAAAAAGCAAGTCTTTGTAATTAGTACGAGCATTATTGTTATATCCAAATGAGTAATTCTTTTTCATTTTTGTTCTTTTAAGAATATGGCTCAGAAGGAATAGTGTCCGCTAGTGGTAATGTTTACGGTTACAACATCATGTTGATGGAGGTTTTGACCAAAAGAAGAGATATGCAATGAAAATCTTGACTTGAGGAAATAGATAATACAATCATTTTCAGGAAGTATGATGGACATTGCCAACTTTTTTCCTGAGGAAGAACAAATCCCTAGTAAAAGTGAAATCTACATAGCCTCCATGATAAATTGGCTTAGACTGCACAAAGGAGACGCCAAAAACCAGAATAAGCATGAAAGAAGTAGTGAAGATCAGGCTTAAAAAAATCAAGAACACATTTCTCGAAACATAACACTCTCAAATCTCAATTCAGGATGTAAAATAAAACATTCTGATTCTTTATGCCACGTAATTTGCAATTTGTGCAATATTTAGGCACATAGTCGTATCTGTTGATCCATGTTGATACAATTTCTCCAGAATTAGCCTTTTTTATTCCAACATTAATCCTTTTCGAAAAATCTCTTAACAAATCTACATCAACTTTGACCTTGGCACAACTAGGTCTAGATTTATTCTTCGTTGCCATGTCCACGTGAAGGGGTTTTCCTACTGCTCTTGCCATGGAGAATAGAGATTCCTCGACAAATTTTTTTTGGTGATAGTCCAGGGAATGATATCCAAGCTAGAGCCGTAGTTGTCTCTGTCTCCGGATTAAACCAAGGTTCCCATTTGAGAAGCCTCATCTGGTAAAAACCATCCTTCGTGCGAAGAAAATGTGCAGGTTATGAAAGGTGGGGCGTAAGGCGGGACGTTTTACTTAGCATAAGGCGAGGTGTAAGCCCTGAGATATGGGGAATAAGTCTCATGGATAATTAAATTTATAATTTATAATATAGTGTAATAATATAATAACACAAAATCATAAAACTACATCAAAAAATAGTTTGAAATAATTACAAACATGATTAAGGAAACTTATAGAAAATAAATCTTCTAACATGATAATACAAGTATAAATAATGTACGTAATGATATAAAAATTATTATGAGATGCAAATCATCTCTAATATCTTAACTTTCTAATAGTAAAACAGCCATTATTTCTAAAAATACTATATAATTTACCCCTAAAGAAAATAACCAATAAATAGTATTATAATAAAAAAATCAGTACGAATACAAATAAAATTACTTTCAAATAGCTAAATAATAAAATATGATAATTTTGAGACACATGACAGAAACATGAAGACCAATTATAAGTGAAAAAGTAAAATTTTGCTATATATTTTAGAAAGAAATGTTACATAATATATAATCACACTCATTGTTAGAACCATCAATATGGGCTAGGCCCGTTGGGCTGGCCTAGCCTAACCTAACCCGTGATTTAATTGGGCTGAGCTAAGATTTTTTAAGCTTATTTAAGAAAAAAGTTTTTTAGTCCGGCTTGATAAAGCCTGTTGATTTGTGGGACTTGAGAAATATAATGATATTTTTTTTATTTATAATTTGATTTAAAAAATTATTAAAGTATACTTTTAAAAAAAAGTGCGCTGGTCTGGCATAGCCCGTATCCCACGTACTTGTGGGTTGGGCTGACCATTTTCTGGCCCACAAGAAAGATGAGTCAGCATAACCCAGCCCGTCAAATTTCAAAGCACGTATGAGTTAGCCCGAATGGGGTGGGCCACAGTGTTACCAATTAGTAAAAATGCAATACTACAACTTGTTATTTGAGTTACTCTCAATCTTCTTATTTGTATATATAGATTAAAAACTATTACGTATCATTTATTTATTCTAGAATTATGAGGGTCAACAATGTTAATTAAAGAATTTAACACGTAATTTTTTGTAAGATATATGAGATGAGCTCCGATTATTGGACGTTGAAATGTACAGTCGCTTAGGACGTAAGTGTTACAAAACTAAGCTCCACACTTGAGTCTTGGGCCATTTTGCTGGCAAGTCCTAACAGAGTCTTTTAAAACACTGGATGGAGGGAGTAATAATTTTGATTCTTTTTCTTTAGTGAGTTTACTTCTCTACTAGTAGTATATATATACCTCTTATTTCAGTAGAATTTCATAAGAACTCAACAGAAGAACAATGGATGTTAAGCTTGGTTTTTGTGTACTTGTCTCCCTAGTTCTGCTGGTAATTTTGATATTCTCCTCCATCTTAGTTAGTACAATTAATTAGTACTTAATTATAAATATATGTTGCTGATCACTTCATAATATATATGTCAGGTTGCTTATGGAACAGAAGCTAGGGATATGGCTGAAGGAAATTCTCAATCCCTTACGAGACTGTTTCTTACATATAAAAATGGAGGTGAAGGGAATGAACATATGGCTGAAGGAAATTCCCAATCCCTTACGAGACTGTATGTTAGATATAAATATGGAGGTGAAGAGCCAAAACAGAATGAACATATGACTCAAGGAATTTTTTTCCTTATGGATGATCTAAAGTTGGGGAAAACATTAACTCACTCCTTTCCAACAATGGATCTTCCTTCTTCTCTACAAATGTTACCCAAAAAAGTTCCATTTTCATTGAAGGAAGCAAAATCCATGGAAGAAACATTAAGACTATGTGAAGATTCACCCATGAAGGGAGAGACTAAGTACTGTGCCACATCTATTGAGGCAATGCGCGATTTTGTACAAGGCATTTTGGGAGAAAACACCCAAATCGAACCTCTCATCACTATGACGACGACTAGTACTGATCCCCTGAACCATAATCGTCTTCAAAACTATACAATTTTGAATGATCCAGAAGATGTTGGAGCTACTAAGATGGTGGCGTGTCATACTATGCGTAGCGTTTACTACTGTCATCACACAATTAGCAAAAGCAAGGTGTTGAAGGTTGAATTAAGGAATGATGCAAATGGTAGTGATAAAATTGAAGCAATTGCAGTTTGTCATTTGGATACCTCTGATTGGAATCCATCCCATCTATCCTTTCGAGTGCTCGGTATATTACCAGGAACATCACCTATCTGTCACTTTTTCCCATCAAGTAATGATCTAGTCTGGATTCCAAAATCAGTTGCAGCGCTTTAATTTTAAGGATTCATCGGAGCAGATAGCTACCTAGTTATTGCTTATGCGTCTAGACGTACGCAAAATAATGTGTTTTAATTTAGTGGAGATCTGCTCTGATGCCTACTCCTATCTTTATTTGTTATGTTGCATGTCTGGTAAAACTCTTATGTTTGTTTTTCCCATAAATGTGTTGAGTATGCTTTTGATGATATAATTATGTATCATTTTCCCCAAATATAGTCGACTGCGTCAATTTTCATCAACAACGCCTTGATTTACTCTTAAAAGCTAAGTCACATGGATCGATGAGCATCCCCAGCTTTCTTGACGATGAAAAATGTTCGGTTCTATGGTTAGATGGGTGAGTGGAATAATTAATTTGGCAGAATTTTTTTTAAATGTAATAAATATAGTATCCATAAATATTATATCCATCTTAGTGTGAAACATAGGATGATAAAAGTGGTGATATTTAACTAAGTTATATTAACAAGTATTGTTTAATATAGTTAACCCGATATTTAATTCTAAAAGGTTGTAATTAAGCTATAGGCCATGTAACATTTGAATATGCAATTACAATTATATATATATATATATATAATGATTATATGAATTTAAACTAAAGCTAAATGCATCAATTTGTTACACTTTCACAATAAAAACAAATTAGGTCTATATATTTCTCTTTCAATCCCTCCTTTGAATTAAGATTTTGAAATTGAAATTTCATATGGTAACAATTCCATTTGTAGAATAAAACAAAAAATAACAAGAAAAGTTCATGAAAGTAAATAGCCTTATTGCCATCATTTTGTTTGTTGGAGACCCAACCCGTGACCTTATCCTTTTGAGCTTTTAAATCTAACCTAAAACTCCAAAAATAGTTATGTCAGTCCTTTGCATAGTATCGTTCACTAGCTAGGTCGTTTCGAATGGATTCATAATTTGGGGTTAAATAGAGTTGTTTTGACATATTTTGAAAAATTTATAGATTATAATATACACAAAAAACTTAGATAATCTTAAATTTCATTTTCGTGACCTTCAAAGTCCAAAAGAATAAATGATGTCGGTCTTGCAGAGATAGACGATCATTCACTAAGTCGTCACAAATGGGCTCACAAAATTTGGGAAACAGAGTCAGTCAATCTCAATTCGTAAAATTCATAGTCTAGTACCTATGAAAAACTCAAATAATCCTTAATTCATGCTCCGTGAGTGGTTTTCTCTTTCTAGATGTGTCACGAAATCCTATATTGGAGGTTCCCGCTTGCCCTATCACTAATCCTAGACGACAATAAGTCTCTAAGAAACTTGTGCTAAAATTTATTACTCCAATGATTATACCATTCTTTATGATATTCTTGTCCGTCTCAATTTGGATAATGAAATGAAAGAAGAAAGGGAAGTCCAAAGATGTTGAAAAGGTTCCAAAGATCAAGACTTATCCAATTGATTTATTCTTATCATGAGATTCAACTAGCAATAATAATTTTGATGGATCCAATTTAATTGGTGAGAGAGACTCTGAACGAGTACAAAGGAACATTATCTAGTGGAGCTACGGTGACCATAAAGGTTCTAGATTTGGAAAATGAGGAAGTATGCGAGAGGTTTGATATTGAATATGCAACATGAGGTTGTTTTTAGTAGTGATTTCATGTTTTTAGGTGGGCTAAGTAAATAAAAAATGTAACCATATACTCCCTCTGTCCCAATTTATATAACTTACTTTCCTTTTTAGTCAGTCCCAAAAAGAATGACACATTTCTATTTTAAGTAACAATTTGCCTATAAAATGTCTTTTTTACCCTTAATGAAATGATTTACAACCACACAAAATTTCTATCATTCATTTTGGACCACAAGTTTTAAAAGTCTTCCCATTTTTCTTAAAGTTTGTGCCAAATCAAAGTACATCATATAAAATGGGACGGAGGGAGTAGTATTTTTAGCAAAATAAATTGATAGAAAAGTATATTAAAACCTTTTGTGACAATCGAGGAACATTTCTTCCCTTTTCCATTTAGGGTGTGTTTGGTATGAAAGGAAATGTTTTCCATGGAAAATGTTTTCTGGAAAACAAATTGATTTTTGACTTATTTTCTCATGTTTGGTTGGTGAGTAGAAAATATTTTTCGAAAAAGATTTTTAGTATTTGAGTTATGAATGAAAAATATTTTTGAGAAATATCTTTTATTTTTACTAGAGTAGAAAATAATTTTTGAAATTGAAAATA